GCTGGGTAGAATGGGCTCTAGGTGGGGCTGGCTCTGGGGCAGGTTTAAGGGGTTCAGGTAGAACAGGCTCTAGATGCAGCTGGCTTTGGGGTGAGACTAGGGGGTCCCTAATGCAGCTGGCTTGGGTGGGCACCAGGGGCTGGGTAGAAAAGGCTCTAGATGCAGTTGACTCTGGGGCAGAGCTGGATAGAACAGGGCCTGGATGAAGCTGGCTCTGGAGTGGATCCAAAGGGTTCCTGATGCGGCTGGCTCTGGGATAGGTGCCAGAGACCAGGTATAATAAGAGTAGATGCAGCTGGCTCTGCAGTGGGTAGAACAAGGTGGTGGATGTGGCTGGTGCTCGGGTGGGTGTAATAGGTCCTTCCTCAGTGCAGCTGGCTCTGGGAGGGCCCTGCTGGCTAGGTACAACAGGCTATAAATGAAGTTGGCTCTGGGGTAGGCTCCAGAGGCCAGGTATAACAGGCTGTAGATGGGGCTGGCTGTGCAGTGGAGCTGGGTAGCGCAGGACGTAGATGCAGCTGGCTCTGGTGTGGGTGGAGCAGGTCCTGGATGCAGCTGGGTCTGGGGTGGGTAGAACAGGCTCGGATATGGCTGGCTCCTGGGTGGAGGGCCCTGGTGGCCACGTACAACAGGTAGTGGATGTGGCTGACTCTGGAGTAGGTGCCACAGGCCAGGTATAACAGGCAGTGTATGCAGCTGGCTCTGGGGTGGAGCTGGGTAGAGCAGGGCCTGGATGCACCTGGCTCTGGGGTGTGTCTCAGTGTTCCCTAATGCACACGCCCCCCCGCAGCACTGGAGCTGCTAAAAGCAGCCATTGCGGCAGCCGGGTGCACGGACCAAGTTGTCATTGGCATGGACGTGGCAGCCTCCGAGTTCCACCGCGATGGCAAGTACGACCTGGACTTCAAATCGCCGCCAGACGCCACACGGCTCATCACGGGCGAGCAGCTGGGGCAGCTCTACCAGAGCTTCGTGCAACATTACCCCGGTCAGCTGGACACCTGGGTCCTGCGGGGCAGAGTGGGGTGGGGGGTATGCTGGGGGACCAGATGCTTGGGTCCCCTGTGGGGGCGGGGTGCTGGATGTCTGCATTCCCTGCTCAGGGGGGTCCTGGACATCTGGGTTCCCTGGACACTTGGGTGCTCTGGGCCCTGGGAACCCAACCACCTGGGCTCCAACCCAGTTCTGGGTGGGAAGTGGGATCTGGGTGCTTGGACACCTAGGTTCCCAGGACGCCCAGGACTCTCGGATGCCTGGGATCCCTGTTAGGGTGTGGGGGGGTGGAAATCCCGGATGCCTGGGTTCTTGGGACGCCCGGGTCCCTGACCCTGTGCCCCCACAGTGGTGTCGATCGAGGACCCGTTCGACCAGGATGACTGGGCAGCCTGGAGCCGGTTCCTGCCACTGGTTCCGATCCAGGTGGTCGGTGATGACCTGACAGTCACCAACCCCAAGCGCATCCAGCGCGCGGCTGAGGCCAAGGCCTGCAACTGCCTCCTGCTCAAGGTCAACCAGATCGGCTCCGTCACTGAGTCCGTGCAGGCGTGAGTGTCCCCACCCATGCCTGGGTCCCTTCCTTGCTGCCCCTCAGATGCCTGAGTCCCATCCTTCCTGGGTTGCAGGGGGAGGGGACAGCGGATGCCTGGGTTCCCTCCTTGCTGGAGAGGTGGACACCTCCGTCCCCTGCCCCAGACAACCTGGGTTCTTTCATGTTGCGGCGGGGGTGCCGGACCCCTGGGTCCCTTCCCCCCTGGTGGCTCTGGATACCTGGGTCCCCTCCTTGTTGTGGGGAGTGGGGCCCGGACGCCTGGGTTCCTTCCTTGCTGGGGTGATGGAGCTGGACGCCCGGCCTCTCTGGGAGGGGAGTGGGGCCCGGATGCCTGAGGTCCTTACCTGCAAGGAGCCAGGATGGGGCCGGGAGAAGCCGCGGGGCTGGGCCTGGACACCTGGGTCCTCACCCTCCCACCCCCCAGGTGCAAGCTGGCGCAGAGCCACGGCTGGGGCGTGATGGTCAGTCACCGCTCGGGGGAAACTGAGGATACCTTCATCGCAGACCTGGTGGTGGGACTCTGCACCGGGCAGGTAAGTCCCGCCCCCTCAGTCAGATCCGCCCCCTGCACCACACGAATGGGCCCCGCCCACTCAACACCCAGCCTAAGCCCCGCCCCTCCAGGCCTCGCCCCCTTAACTCTTT